GGTGCAAAGATCAATGGAAAAGGAATTACATTTGTTCTTGTACAGCGGCCCTGTAATTCCCGCTCAACTTCTCTGGCCCATGTCTTACCTACTTGAGAATATACTAATTAATTAATTGCGATCGATCTGGACAAACGCGTAACTACCGATTACGACCAGATGAGCACGCGCATATCGTTCACCCTCTCTTCACTACATCGAATCTCCTTTCCTGTCGTGCGAGTGCTAAGGAATTGTTTCTCTCACATGAATTAATCCTCCTCATAACGAAGCTGGACCTTTTGCATGTGACAGTAGTTCGCATGCTTTCATTTTCCACGAAATCTACGAAATGGCTATCCACTTAGACAACGAACGTCCGCACATTTCATCAGACTCCATCGATTAACACATCTCATTCACACGCTGCTTCGTCCCACCACGATTTTTTCAGACCCTGGTTCTTCTCGTGCTACATCTATACCAGTAGTGACTGACATTCGGAGTGGTCCGTTCCTGTGCGGTTTGTTCATTTGCACCATCTTACTCAGTCGGGGCTTGCCGGGTGTCACTGCTCTTCCGTCTTCAAAACTACTCAAACTAAACACGTCAGTGCTTGGGAGTCTGATGAACCCAGTCTCAACATCTTCACTGGATACTGCGGATGGGTCAATGATCCTCTTTCTACGAAAACTAGCCATGTGAGGTAACAACTACAGGGTACAAGCGAGTCACGAACATCACGGCTTGACTGTAACTGTAAGAGAGTATCAACATTGTTCACTCTTACATTGCGACACAATAGATGTGGTATTTCTCACCGGCAGCTAGCATGTAAAATGGTGATGATGACAACCCGCCTCCAGACAGGTAGCCCCTGTTCACTAAAGTGCAGACTCGCCAAGACGCTCTTTCCTTTGACTATGGGAATCGACTTAACTTTTTCAAGGCTATGTGTGCAAGGTTTCAAGCGCATCCCAACTCTCTACATGACGGCGAGCCGGCTGCCCCAGCGTGTGTTATTCGTTTGTGCAAATCCTGGCGAGGTTTTCAAAATTGACCGTGCTGTTCGGTTGCATCTGCAGAATCACACGCTTTCTGCAGTAATTTTGTTTTTCTACACCGAACCATACAACAATCAAGGCCACGATAATTTACACTCGCGATATTTTAAAATCCCTATGTGCCTCTGTTACAATGAACTCTCGTTTTACACGGTCGTGCTATAAGCAATGAATTGAATGGAATCTACCAGAAGCACAACTAAGAGGTCCCGGGCTGGATGGGGAAATGATTTTCGGAAGATACAATTTCGAAGCATGCGTATGCTCACTAAACTTTATTCTGATATCCGAGTAAATGTGAGTAAAATGCTTGAGGTTACGAGCACAGTATAATGCAGTGATTACTCTAACTTCTGATTAATTATGCTAAAAGAGACCTGGCTCCATGAGGACGTGGATAACGCAGTTGTAGCGATCGTTTGATTCGTGTGCCATCATGCACATACCGTAACTGTGGCGGAAGTGGTATCACCTATGTGAATCCCTCATGGTGCAGGTGCGTTTCCCCTTTTTTAAATAGTATCAACCGCTTAATTTTGTAATGTAAGCTGAGCTCTTTAAGCGGCTACCAATCGATTTTGCTGGTTAATATTTACATTTTCCCCATTTCCACACATCCGAAGCAGAAGGATTTTATGATCAGTTTACTAAATCCACCACCCCTTAATTATTCTCTCTGCATTTTTACTGCAGATTTCAACAGATTTGATACCACATTTCTTACAAATGGCGGGCAACGAAATGTAACCCTCCCCATCAGACTGGAAGCATTCCGAGACCTAATATTTGTTAGCGATGCGAAGCTGTATTTTGTGTGCAAACACCCATAGGTAGCTCTGACCACTTAAAGACCAACTTACCTTATGTCGTCTACGGTAAGGCAAATCATGTGGAAGTTAATCGCTATAAAGATCGGAAGTGTAGATGGCAGTGTCCACTTCTGAACATATTTCAACTACGAGAAATGATTGCATCCATAGACTTCAGTATATTTTTTGACGCTTATGTATTTGCGTACTGTAACCAGGTGACTTCTGTTTGGATACCCCCTGTCCACTGGAGACCGTTGTCATATGTGCGGACCAGTTTTCATCTCCACACCTAAAAAGCTTGCATAGAATCAAGGAAAAAGCATTTAAAAGTAGAGAATACGCTGCGTTGAATCCTCTCTTAACCGCTCATGTGTCCACGCTGTGCCCAAAAATAAGAGTTCTCGGGAGGCCTGACGGATGCTGAAGCAACTTACTGTAGCCGACCCGTAGCCCAAAGGTAGTGAGGGCAGGGCGACGCTCGCAGTGTCCTTAGCTCACCTGCGACCGGTGGTGGTTGCGCGGCAGCGAATCCAGACGTGGAACTTGAAGAATTGCACCACAAATTTTGTTACTTGAATCTTAACTTTGCCTCTCACCCTTTCCCATCTTGATTGTACTGACCTACAACCTGTTCTGTCCTTGACAAAAGTACAATGCACATTGGATTGCTGAGACCTAATTCCAACAAACCAAATACTCCGAGAGGACTAAATCCCATTGTCCTCAAGGAGTATGGCGATTCCCTGCCCACCCTCTTGCTGATTTGTTCGCGTTGTGTATAAAAGAACATAAAATTGCTGACCGGTGCCGAAGAACAGTTCAAATAGCCACCGGTCAACTGCTTACCCTCCAGCAGACTTGAAGGTCTTCCGGAGCATACTTAAAAGAATGCTGACTCAAACGCGTTCAAATAATCTCCTCCTGTTTGTAGTTCCAAGTCTAGCTAGGACGCGTTGTCCTACCTCTTACATTCAGTGATGATACCACTGTACAACATGATAGAACCGGTTCGGATATGTTTTATTGACTACGGTAACACATTCTGCTGTGTAAACTGTGAAATTTCTTTGAGAGATCTACACTAGTCGGAATTCAACTTCCTGTCGTCCACATGCTGGGAGATCATTTCACTGGACGGGTCCGGTTTACTCGACTTAGGGGTAAAAGTTTTTCCGTGCCCACCACAGCCGCCGGGGTCCTCTAAGGAGCCATACCATCTCCGTTAACCCCTTTCCACTTACATCGCCTCATTACCTACCCCTGCTAAAGCGATATTACTGAAATATGCAGTCGACGTGGTCTTAGGTGTCCAGTGTCTGACCGCATCCTCATCAACCATACTACAAGCCTATCTGGACAAGCTTGCATTGCGATCCAGAGCTCATATACTCGCTGAACAAATTAAAACGCAATGACGTTTCTTCCCTACATGAAGACTGTCGTTAATGACGGCATCACATAGAATGCAATGGCTCGATGCTTATTTTATTGACTGTAATATATATATATATATATATATATCATAGACTGCCCTGAACTTCACATGGTGATAGGTTACACTCCTCCATCTCAGTGGTTGCACTCAGCCATGATTTCTGTTCGTCACTCGGTGTGAATGAATTTTTCACGAAAGTGGGAAGCCTTCCATTGTACGCTGCTCGTCTGCGATCCAACCCTGCTCCTACTACTTAATCCTGCGATTTATCACCCCTTGTGTGCCGCCCCACTGCACCTATTACTTCCCTGTAATATTTCTCTGCTTAGTAATCAAGCATGTCATAGTCCTTATATACTTCCTTGAAGCAACTGTCTCAATGTAATGGAATCCCAAAGCCGACCATTTGTGACAGTTTTGTGCCTACCCATACCAGTTCACGCTAGAGAATTACTTCAAAGATATTCACCGATGGAAGTCACTTTAATCATTGTGATTCATTGATCAGACAAAATTACTAGTCCATTTATGCTCTACATGTGATTACCACTAATCTGTCAGTTTAGATTTTGCGCGACCGAACTTCAGTCGTTCTTAACTCTACTAGCAAGTGTGCATTGTAACCACAGTACTGCTTATGCTATGTATCAACGAACTGCTTTATTTTAAGTTTTATTCCTTTTAGAATGCTGAAGGTGTGTGTTACGTCTCAACACTCACCCTTCTGGATACATAAAGCTTTTGTTGTATTGAATTGATTTGGTTGGGTGGAACTCCGTGGTGGTCAGTCACTGGCATGTTAAAGTTCAGGACGAAGCGCACTGAGAGTCCAACCTAGACCGGGGTTAGTTGCGTTCTTCGGGATCAGTCATACCAGTGGGCACTTCCCCTATCTTATTTGACACATTCACGAAACCGTCTGCCGACTTTATCTATTGTTAGTTTCTTTTGATCCACCGCATTTTTGTACGTGGATCTTGTTCGAAAACCAGAAATGAACTTTTGAAACATAGACTATTTTATTATCCATTTAATGCCTTTGGTTACTTCCATGAATTCGCAACGAGCTGTATCCAAGCTATGAGTAGATTAACGTTGGAGTGATACCATGTGCCGTATTCTACCATGTCCAAGGCGAATTGATTCGATTAACTTGTAGGAGCCACCCGAAATCAACGTATGCGGGGATTTTGGAGCTCATTGTTCCAGCGAATGCATTAAAACCATGCTGTTTGTCATCGCACATCTTTGCAGCTGATGGGTGAAGTCGATGAGGTGCCGGATTGTGACTCTTAAACATCTGTAGGAGTTAGTCAGCATCCTTGTATCCGATTGCAAAATTTTCGAGTTTTCTTTCCTGTCGTAAATTTCGATCTGCGAATCTTGCCAGAAGAAGTCTAGAAACCCACTTACGCAGACTTATGTATCGGGTATTAAACACATTCCAAAGACAAGTACCCACTAGGGGGTTTTCTGCGCAGCTTCACCATTCGTGTTTTGAATATCCCATTGTTTCTGGTATCAAGTGCTTCATGCCTTGGCTCAAGGTCAAGCATCGTAGCAACTCGTTTTCCTCGCTACTTGTTCATCTTTGTATAACTGAATCATTCCGTACGTATGGGCCTAAGTAAGTACCGTGCAATTCTTCACTAGTCAGTTGTTTTGTTCAAAGCTGTTTAAGCTCATGGTTGTTTTGGCTTCTACTTCCAGATATATCTTTCCGCTGTTTGGAAGCAGGTCGCCAGTTATGACCATGCCGCCAGTTCCGCTCAAACGAAATCGAGAAGTGACCCTACCGGAAGGGTATTGTGCATTTGAGTTTGCTGCTCTGTACGATGAAGTGAGTGATAATCCCATCGCCCAAAGTCTAACTCTCGATCACTGCTTCATTTTGTTTCTTTTCTAGTGTGGAACCCAGGCGACCAACCCAAGCTGAATTTGGTTAAGCACTATTTTCGTTTGACAAACGACTGTGTCGAGTAGGAGCATGAACACTCTGCTGTTCATCCGTTGATTCCACGGCCCAGTGAGTTGGGACCGCAGTTTCTAAGTTCAGCAACGAAGTTCAGTAGACGACAGTTTGGAGGCATCACATGGTGATAAGAAACGAAGCTACATCAGCCTTCGATAGAGTCTCTAAATGAACGTTCCATGGTCCAAGCTGCATCACCTGAGTAAAGTGAAGCCGGGGGCAGTGGACCAAGTGAACTGCTCTCGAAAATGCTCTGCCCAACGTGCCATACGACGCAGACTGTTATGAATCAGGGCGCACACGCTTTCTCTCTTACTGACGCTTAGTTTCCTAGCACCTTTGGTGCATGTCGCTGCAGCGAATGTGATAAACACTACGTCGGACAAACGGGAAGAGAGCTTTTCACTCGGATCACAGAGCATAAGAATGACATAAAAAGGCATAGCCCCTATTAATTGGTTCCCATGTACTAAGGAAACGTAAAGATTTTAGCACAGAGGAATACGCAGGCAAGAGAATTTCTAAAAGCGTGGCACTCCACGAAGAATTCAGTCAAACGACACTTCGTGTTGAACGCCATCTATGTAAATCTACGAGCAAAAGACCATCACTGCAGTTGAATGACTTTCGTGGAAAGCGACACAATACGAACAGCTCCGGTAGCATTCCCAGATACGGAGACAAACGGGCCAGGGTCACTAGGCCTTGGTTGAAGAGGATATTTTTAGAGGTCAAATGCCCAAACGGCTGATGACGGTGACCTATAAAAATATACGCGCGTGACTACCGGTTCACACTACGCTACGCATTAACGCACTTATGATGTCACCTCGACGGGTGACGAAAGCTTTACAAAATAATTGACAAGCTTAGAGAACAGTTCATCTACCTGATGAACAATCTGAGCTACCCCCAGTTATAATAATAATAATAATAATAATAATAATGTGTCAGCTGCACGCCGTAACGGCGCTTCGCTGCCGCGCGACCACCACCAGTCGCGCGCGGGCTAAGTATACCGCGAGGACGCTCACCCCTACGCGGATCCGAACCGGTGACCTTATGGTTGCAAAGCAAACGTGCAGACCACTCGGCCACCGGCCGACCTACCCCCAGTTACTTGTATGCAAGTCCATATTTGTCACCTAGCTGAACTTCTGAAGAGCCCAGACGAGCTACTTGCGCATTCATATACCCTGCAAGAACCACTGAAATCTGGACTGGTGACACTGAGTAGCAGTGTGTTCAGTATGTGGGAGAAAATGTTCTTGTCAGTATCGGAGATGCAGGCGGTGGGGGTATAAGCGAAAATCATTAACAAACAGCGTCTAGTACTGCTTCGTGAATCAACCTTAGCTTGTTGTCGAATAGACGAAACACAAACGACTGCTCACGATGACTCAGTCTTGGAGCTTAGAATGATGCCTGCCCCCGCTTTACCATTGATTACCGCACTAGCGTCTCCGGATTTGTGCAACCAATAGCGAGAGGACATACCGGGCGCAGTCACTTCGACACCCCGTGAGGATAATTGATTCTAGGTTCGGACACGCAACACACAGCATACCAGTGTGTCCAAGGTGCGTGCTAGTGCAGTCTGTTGACCTATTTGTCTTATAGTGCGGATGTCAAATGTCGCTAGGGAAACGGACAGCGTGGCCTTATAAGGAGTTATTGGCGATTGGTGTCCAGTGAGGGACGCAGGAAGAAAGCTGCAGATGGTATGACTCAAGTAGCATTGCGGTTACTGTCAATTAAACTGGGAATTATAGAAGGAAGACGTATTAGGGGTTAAGAGCAGAGTAAGAGAAACAGGTGGAAGAGAAATAACGAAGTGTCAGCGGTAACATGTTTTCGCCTATCAATCTTGATGTATGCAGCAGATGAGGTGACCCTTGATAAACTACACGACTGTCGATGCAGAATGTGCTTAAAGTTGTAGGAAATAGTCATGCTTGTATGCTGGCTGTGATACTGCCAGGGCGCCCAGACCTAGATAGGAGGACGATTAGGCTTTGGCTCAAAAGCTTGTCCGCAAGGCAGCGGGGAGGTGGCAATGATTTAGTTTTACAGAAATGGACGCCCCCATTTTCAAACCTCCAACCTGGAGGACCAGGAGACTGAGTTCGTCTGACTTGTGACCATTGACCAACCAGGCAGGAGTAGCTCTCAAGGAGCTCGAGGGCCCCATCCAGTATAGCTCAATGAGTCGAAGACATACGCAAATCTTCGCATCAGATCAAGGCCCAGTCTTGTTGCGACGGTTGGCAAAATGTCTAGAGTATGGTGGTCAAATGGCAAGCAGTAGTTCCGGTCCGCGTGATGCAGTGACCCTCCGTCGAGCGGCTGTCCAATGCAGGCCGTTGGTACAATACATTTTCCGGGTGCAATATACACTCATGTGTTGTGGCACTTTGCCAAAAGTTTATTGGGCAAGTGTTAAATAATGAATAAAAACACTCAACCACTTTTATCTTCTTTCACCTGACATAAGAATACCTATGGTGTATTTGCAGACTGACCGCACTTCACTGCGAAATTCTTAGCAGTCACTCTATAATTAAAAGTGTGCTACCCTCTATCTGGTACGATACTTTTTTGACTTTCCGTGACATTATGGTTGCTGGGGGCAACGAGCCCTTCCTGGGCACGTGGTTATCTCGGGTGCTACTCAGATACTAGTCAGAGACGATGACACACGGAACGGCGAGAAAGTAAGCGAGAGCCGAAGGCAACATAGCGCACTACTTACCGCGGAAGCGCAAATGATGGGGATTCAAAATCAGTCGAACAAATGGACGGTTACAGGGTACGAGGACCTTGAATACATCGGTCTGCCTTGTAATCCGAGGGCGCGGGTTCGAGCCAGTGTAGGGGACCGAGGGACCCTCTTAGTATCCTAAGTCCACGTGTGACTGGTGGTGGTTGCGCGGCAGCGATGCGTCGTTACTGCGTACCGACGCCTTTGCATGTTTATAACAACGTAAAAGCGACTATTTTAGGTCCACCACAGTTGTCACCATTTGAATATCTTTAGCACATTACATGTAGTTGCTAAATCAGCTACCTTTTAACTGCGAAGGTTTTCTGCCAATTATCCCATTTGGTTAATCCTTACGATTGTCATATTTCTGTTTATTTCGGTCACCACGACCTGATAGCTCAACCAGCGCCTGAGTGTTACTCCGTTGATCGTCGAACTATTTAACCGCCAGCGGAGTGTAAAGGGATCTGATGAACTTCTCGCCCGCGCGGTAATTCACCCGGATATCGTGCTCAGCTCCCCCTTGAGAAATGGTGAGTCTGACCAAATGCTGTAGAGTATCTTGATGCACTGATTTTTGTGGTTAGCTGTTATTCAGTTGCACCGTAACATTCACACGAAAAGTAAAGCGAGACACAAGGAGAATTGCAGTTTCCCATTCAAAGTGTGAGCAGGTTAGGTATGGTAACTTGCAGCGTAAGCTTGCATTATCAGTGTTGTTTTTCGAAATGTCACGAGCAATTGATTTTACGCAAAATTAATACATTGGTTGTTGATCGATACTCGCACTCGTGCCATTTGTCTACTCACTCTATCCTGTAGCTTTTTCAAACATTGAAATGTTGTTAACACTGTCTCCTTAAATCCCCATTCGATCGTGTTTCCGAAGAGTGTGGAACAACAGTACGAAGATATTATGGCACATGTGACTTAATATTGGCTCGAACTCTAAGCGAAACGGACCTGCGCAATCCCCAGGGAGATCGAGGAAAGCAAGTTGGCCAGCTGAATTTTGGCTTAGTTCTAGAAGACTATGGCCATCATGTCACTTCGACATCCACCGTACCTTCACGAGGAGAGGAAGCAGACCTTGGCGATTTGAAGGTAAGGAGTACAGCTGTCAGATATTCCCCAGAATTAATTGTATCCGACCTAGCATCTCTAAAACAAGCCTGTCAACCCACACGTCACATAATACTAGAGCCACCATGCGTGACCAATCGTTATTTTTTGGTCTCCAGCAGTCATGATAATTTCAAGTCAAGTCAACGAAAGCTTTAGGTACCCAAATGAGTACATTTTACATCATCATTTACATCATCAACTGTAAACGTCCTAAATTTGCACCATCAAATGGGTTGAAAAAATGAGGATGGTGAACCGTCATCACTCAGTCAAGTGATGCTTTCTATGGGACAGTAGCGTTGTAGATGTTTTGTGATCGGTCTGATGTTTGGGAGGGTTATTTACCTGCACCTGGCTTCTCACCAGCTGCGACGGACATCTGGAACGAATGACCTCATTAGCTGGGAACGACTAGAAGGAGTGGTCGATTTGAGTAGTATTATCCCGTGGATTAGTCGTACTGACGGGCGCTTTGTGAGTCCGGATGTGTCTACGGTTATGCTCGTCGTTTATGTTTATTGGGAAAAGTTTCTCCTTTGTAGCAAACTCTCATCCGGTCCATCCGAACTAATTCCACGGATGCTGGATAAATAAACACAACCGTCTCGTCAGTTGATGCAGCCAGGGAACCGTAACGAGCTGTGTGTGCGTCGACAGTCTGGCCTACGTGTGTGCATGGTGATTGATGGTGAAGACTGGTTTGCAAGGGAATTCAACAGCTGGAATGTTGACCTGACTATCCGAGTTAACTCACTGTGCAGTATGCCCACGCCGTCTTGCCCAGGCCTATCGCCTTTGTATACAACAATGCTGACATTGGAACTAGCAGACTATTCACGAGGCAATTAAACTGCCTAAGACTACCGTGGAATTCCCTCAGCACCCTAACCCTTCGAACTAGCATTAGCGCCAATCTGTAGATGTATGCCTGGTAGAACACCAAGCCAGTTACAAGATGATTGACAAGTTACTTCATTATATACAAGTAGGGAAACAGATTATGGCCAATACCATCGTTATGTTAGTAACTGCAATTGCTTTGCTGTTCATACCCGATGCTGACCGCGTATCCAACCATAGATTGCAATAATCTTTGGGATCCCATCGTGAGATGTGTGAACTCATCGGCGCGAACTCACGTGATGTGCCGATCATCTAGCCCCCGTATCTCCTCATTGCCAATGCACAGAACCATCGCACGCCGATGACGTCTCTAAGGCGGTAGACGATGTACGTGTCCGTGCAATGATAGCCATTAAATCGAAAGGGTTGAACCAATTTGTTGTTGGTGAGCTAATCTATAAGCAGGACCCCTTCCTCATGATATGTCGAATTCACTTGTTGAAAGTCAGACACCCGTATAGTCATGAAGGGATGAATCGAGCCAAGTTCGAATTGGTAACGCAAGTGGCGAGTGCCGGCTGAAGTTATCATGACTTCTGAAAATGCGAAGAGTCAGACTACCATTTTGCAGGTGGCTTCCGAAATGAACAAAATTTTTGACCGAAAAACGGAGAGAATTATGTGTCTTTCACGCCTGAATGGTCGTTCCAGGACGGCAGATATTTGTAACCTGAACTGAACATTTTGGGGAAATACCGCGGGGGGGAAGGCGACATTGTTGCCATCTTGATACCTGTCATCGGAGAACTGTTGCATACAGTCTTCGTGTTAGATAGTCGTCGTTCATAACTCCACCGATGATTGCGGCCAAAAACAACCACAGCACTTGTGCTACTTGGTCACTTGCGCCCCACTACTCACGGTTCAAACCACCCACTACATATTTATAAAATAAACTAAAACCACCACCACACCAAAGAAGGCATGATCAGTTTTGTACATGGAGATATGCGACAATTGCTGCTTGAGCAAATATTAATCTTGACAAAGTAAGTGTGTAGATTCATGTGATAAAAGATATGGTATGTGGCTGTGATAAATATTTCCATGCTGAACTTGCAAATTGTTTTGCGATTGCGAAGCTGTCGATAGGCACGGTTCATGGTATAGACATTGATGGCTATCGAATTGAAGACTGGTAGCTCAGGTTGCAACTAAATTGCCAAGCTCAGCGAACAGTTCAACTTCCATAGACATTGATCTCAAGTAAAAGTTGAATCAGTGACTCAAGTTGAGTTTCGGTAATTTGGAATGATTTGACCTCGGACCGATTGCTTGCATCGCTATCCGCAGTCACCTGGCTCCCATTTTCGCCCGCTTGTCATATTCAATAGCGTCAGATCTCCTTGCACAGCGTTGGAATCCTGTCCGTTGACGGATACACGAGCCTTATGGGAATGAAGATCCGAATCGCTGGTTAAGGGCCTTCCGCCGTTATTGCAAGGTTCCTCAGATGCCGGCCAAGATGTCTGAAAAACTCGGAAAGAAGTGCGACGGACAATAGGCAGCCGAATAGCCAGACGGAAATGCAGTAAATTTGGGGTGTCCGTCTGCAACACATGCGAAGATGAGCCACGTTTGCTTCGCAGTCGGCTCACATTAGTCCAGACTCACATCACTCTGGAGTTGGCGGATTCGTATGGCAACATTTTAGCGTCAGGACAACACTCAGAAGTTGCCCACGCAACATACACTGCGTGGGCATGTGAGCAGGTTGGAGTAATCGACTAAAATGACAGTGCTGCTTGCTCAACTTTAACATATGGGGAAGCATACACACCAGAAGCATGCAAATTTATGATCGAGCCGTAAACAGTTTTCATGATAGATCCACTGAGTGTATGGCTGTTACGAAGACCGCGTACATCGCCGCCAAAATTTTAGTTGAAGTGTTATGTAGACGAACACTGCCAACGGTCCCTGCGGTAGATCACATCTCATTCGTACATATAGAAATCACCCGAACCTAGCAATGGGCACTACTCATGTCACGCGAACTTCAGCTAATTAAAAAGGGGTTGGTAAATTACTTCAGCGATGTTAACCGTTAACTTTTTTAAGAACTGTTTTATATCAAAAGCATTCTTCATGACACACTTGAGATGATTCCTGTCAGCGTTCGGTTCACCAACCTCATTCACCACTGACAATTAGTGGGTCATTTCGTCATGATATTGTTGAACTGCGGACTGCAAGTTCAAGTTAAGTGAGAAGCTTAGAAGATAGGCGCTTCTTTGAAGCCGGAAGAGTGAGCGCCAGGCGTATCCGCACTAGAGCAGTCGAAATTCAGTGACGCGCTCCAAATGATCGACAATTTTGAGATAATATGCGCCACCTATAGCTGGTGGCAATGCGTGGCGCTCGTACTCTACGCCAGTCGAGTTGTGAACTTATAACTCGTAAACCTGTTGTCTTCCATGGCTACCTTTTAAGGGAAGAGGGCTATCAACGTTTCTCTAACCCCCGAGGATGATTGTGAGACTGAATTGGTCTGACTCCTAACCATTGAAGTAGCTGGTATGAGTGGCTCTGAAGGCAATTAGAAAGTGCCACCCAGCGTCGCTCAGTTCACCATGGAAGTATGCAGATTATCGCAACACGTTAATGTCCAGTCTCGTCGCGATGGGATACAGATGAAAGCTGAACTGGAGTTCGTTTTCTGAGGCTTTTGGGACGCATCCGATGGGAAGGTACTCAGAAACATCAAAAGGTAACTGGTGCTCCGACGATATCTGTTATCTCTGGTGTAGTTTCTATTTTGAACTGTGCACCGTAGTTATTCACTGGGATGACGTCGAACGGACTGCCTTCATCTATTTTGCCGAGTGCCAAGCCGACAGTCCAAAAGCCTCAAGCAATCATTTTCGTGTCATCAGAGATGCAAAGAACATAGCCACAGTCACTAGAATCTATCTGATCCATGTAGCAGAAGTTTGTTTAGGACGCTACTGTCTTGCGCGCGTATTTCTCAGAATATCTAGTTGACGAGAGAACGAGATGAGAGCCAGTGCCGCTTGTGGACTATGCAATGTAACACACTTAGTGATCCAGCACCATAGCTTCATTTTCACTTCCACCGAGAACAACTCATAAATAGCATAAACACGACAGGACAGCAGTGATTTCGGTGTACATAGTTGATTTGTATGTTAATACACGAAATTGGCGTGTATTTTTACGGTGTAATACGAGGTCGTGATCTATCCAGTTGTCATACAAAACGCTCGTACTATAACTGAAGCCCAAGGTAATCGAGACTGATTCATCGATTATTCAACGCTTTACGCCCCTTAAACAGCCTTCGGTGTCCAAAACAGACATTCGATCCACTGCCGAGTACCAGACTGCATTCGAACTGGAGTTGTGGCGAGCAACAGAGGAAACAAAGTTTCAAACTCGCCTGAAGCAGCGAGAACAGCAACTTATGGCAGCGTTTGCTGAAGAATGGCACAAACGAGACTCCGAGCGCGAATTGCTGTGTCGTAAGAAGGTAAGTAAGCATCGTGTTCTATGTTTCGGTGCTTATTGCTACAAACTTTGCATTCCAGGGATGATAACCGTTTGTGGGTGTCAATTTAGGCGAAAATATACTGCTGAGTGATGTACTATTCGACACTATTAGAGAGATACGTACGCCAAACAGATCTGGTGCCCCATCTCACACCCGTCGACAGCAAAACGGCATTTAAGTATGGCACTTCCATGGTAGCCTGCACAAATTCGACCGATTCAAATTGCTTACCAAGAACGGTTTTTGCTTAGAGGATGGGATTTAGTCACGTCCAGAAAAGGTGTTCCTAGGATGCTGTGAGGCAGTTGTACAACTGTTCGGTTTTGTTTGCCTGCTTCCTGTAGGAGAATTCAGTAGTCAATTAAGCATTTCATTGAATTTATCTGAAATCAAGGTAAGGGAATAGCTGCGCATGGCTCGTGTTGTTACTCAATTTGCGTTAAACTTTGGTCCAGACAAGTCGTCCAATATATTCCACTCTCGCCCTTCCTTTCAGCTTTCTGAATATCGATCGCTTGAAGAGAAGTTACGTGCGACTTTGGCCGAGTTGGCGGCTAGAGAGTGCCAGTTAGCAGCTGGGGAAGCTGAACTGGTAAGACTTCGTCAAGATATCTTGTCGGAAGCGGAATTACAGCGAAAACAGCTTGCACAACAGTCCGAAGTCCAGGTTCGTGATCTGGAGAGCCAACTCAAGCTGGAGCGGAGACAAAGCGCCCATTGGAAGACAAAGGTATACCGATATAAGTTTCTTGGCATTAATGTTTAGATGGATATACTCCATCCAGTGGCAGACATATTTCTCAAAGTATGCCTGAGCAACCCCTTTGTTCACAGATTGACAAAAGTAGCAGAGTGCTAAGCGTTGTTTTTGAAGCGCAATAAGACCCTGTCGAACTAAATAGATGCGTCATGCGCTCAGCGAATTAAATCTCGTTCCAGCCGGCTACATACTGTGGCACGGAATTTCGTGTGAAAAGGAAAAAACGATCATCATTCTACGAGTACAATACCAAGCGATACACCGGTGCATTGTACGGACACTTAATCATTATACTAGGTGAATAAATCACCCATCCTGGGTGCATACAGCACATTCTTGACTTAGAAACAATTATTTGGATGGGCACGCCGACAATAACAACATTAATAAATATAGTGGGTTACGTTTCGTCACCACTTACATGTAGGTAGATTAGACGGTTCCCATCGCGCCTATTGGTGGATTGGTCTTAACATTTGGACGGCAGTGCCATTACAAAACACTGACCCTCGACACCATCCATCGTCTCGAATCCGACGACAATGCTGAAAATCCAGGAAGATGTCAGTTCAAAGAGGTGTTGCTTACAGTTCGTTATACATGAACTTACGACTATGATTTACGGGTCCCTCTGCCATTCGAATATCTAAATCAATGAATTTCCGTTGTGAAATAGATTGACGGGTCGACTAATGTTTAGGTGCCCTGCGGGGATCTGGTTGTGCTGTATATAGATACAGGTAGCCCATAATAGACCCCTCATCCTCGCTACTGCAGAGCAAACGGAAGATCCGCAGCTGTGAGCTGATAACTTTCCTGGTGCTGCAGTCCATTAGCGTTTCGGTAATATGGCTCTGGGAATAGAGGGACTTTTCTCCAGACTGCAGTACTGATATTGTCAACGATGGTTCTCCGTCGTTCAGTTGCGGACCCAAGAATCAATATCTTCACACCCTCATACGAAGTTGTTAGCTACGTGAAGAAAAACGCGTAGCAGCCAAGGCACTTTATTTAACTTCAATAGTGTTTATATCCCGTAAAATGAAAGTCTGCATCATTTAAATGCATGAAGAGCTATAAGGTAGCTCTCTCTTACTCTTATACACTTCATACTACATCTAGCTCATGACACCGTTTCTTTATGAGGACAGGATACGGCGTGATAACACTGCTCGTGTTCCGTGGCTGATATATGAAGGCACACTCCGATAAGGTTCCTACGGAAACATAACCTTCCCTTCATACTCCCGTGCTTAATTTTCCATGAAAACCTAGTCCATGCTTATACTGTCTACCCAAGTGTTTGCTTACAGTTTACTAGCTAGAGCTATTAATCCATATGTAGCAGTTGCTCTCCTCTAATTAACGTCTCCTTACTCACAGGCCGATGAGCTGCAGTCGCGGTGTGCTGAGTTGGAAAATCAACTATGCGAACTTCAGGGTAAAGTGGCACAGATGCAGTTCACAAAAACCTCACCACCAAGTCTAAAACAACCAAACACGGAGGTTTCAGTCGATGTTCAGCTGAAGATAGCCCAGCTAACCACTGAAATAGTTAGAATTCGTGAAACTCTGACAGAAACAGAACGTCGCCTTGAGACTGCTGAAAAAGGTCGTGTAAGATATCGCCAGTTGTGTGCACGGGCGCTGCATGAAATCAATCGGTTAAAGCAGGAGGCGGAGATGAATACACGACAGTCCCTGGCTAAACGAGAAGCAGAACTAGAGCACTTACGTGCGCGTTACCTAAACTTGGAGGATAGAGAGCTAACAACTAGAATAAGAAACTGGAACGGCGGTTCTCCGATTCGGAACGGTGACGTGGCAACACGAACTTCTACAGCCAACGAGAGGGCAGACTGGTGAGTCGTTGCGATTCCAAACCACATCGCAGTAAAAAATCTTTCTTATGTTCCATTGAAATATCTTACCTGCAATACGTCCGCATTAGTAGCCTATTCACCAACAAGTTAGCACAAAATGAAAATTCGCTGAAACACTTCCAACCGCATTTCAGTACGATGAAGCGTGTGAAGTTCGGAACAGTACGGTCGTTCGCTCGTCATTAACTAACGAAACGAACAGCGAAGTGAGATAGCTCACGAGGCCATGACCCAGCAACCGCGGGCAAACCACTACTAGTTCTGTTATTCGGAAAGAAGGGTCAATATGTGCTGATCTGATAACTTCTGAATGGCATGTCACACTAGCCTTCTGCATGTATCTACACATGGGGGCGCCCTGCACCGTAGATGTCCTCCATAAGCCAAAATTAGCAAGGAAAAACAGCTTCAAGATAGTGGGTAAGCTGTTAAGGAGCTTACTAAAAGCACGTCTGTATAACCCATGCTTCTTGCTGCTCAAGAATAGAAGTTTTAATGTGATGGTTAATCCAGATCGCCATAATGCCAAGTGAATGTGACCAAGTCCCTGCTCCATAAAAATTAATCTAGAACAGCATTATGAAAAATAAAATGTATATTCTCTATGTCACACGAGTCACGCCAAAGAAGGCATGAACAGTTTTGTACAAGCAGATATGCGACGACTTCAGTTTGCTCAAATATTAGTCTTGACAAAGTAAGTGGGTATATTCATGAGATCCAGGACATGGGATGTGGTTATGATAAATGTTTTCATGTTGAAATAGAAAATTGTTTTGCGAATGCGAAAGTGTCGATAGGCACGAATGATGATATAGATATTTATCGCAAGTACATGTTGAGTCAATGACTCGAATTGGGTTTCGGTAAGTTGGAATGATTTGACATCGAACCGATTGCTTGCACCACTATCCGCAGTCACCGGTCGTCCATTTTTTCATCCGCTTGTCATATTCTATGGCGTCAGAACTCCTTGCACTGCGCTGAATTCTTATCCGTATCCATTTGATGGAACCGCGAGCCTAATGGGAGTGTGGATCGGAATCGTTGATAAAGGGCCATCCGCCGTTATTGCAAGGCTCCCCAGGTGCCGGTCAACATGTCTGAAAAGCTCAGTTTGAAGTGGTTGCTATATCTCGAGTAAAGTGTCTAGCCGCAGTTTCTGCGAACAACAAGTAAGAGAAAATTTAACACATGGGATACAGGACAACCAAATTACCCTAAACCCGCACAAAGCGTTCCGTGGCCGAGTTCCACACATCTCCTGCGCATTTAGTTACAGTATGTATGTAATCTCAACAGTCTAGCAACTAGACATAGAGCCAACAAAGCCATGGAGATCAGTGGATAGGAGACAGTCATTGCGTCATAATCATCGTGGCATGGTAGTTGAAGGTGGGCAACACACTTCAGCTAATATGCCGCAAGAAGAATGGAACATTTTGACAAAAAATAGAACAAAACCTTTTTAGTTTGTTTGTCACACGCCGATTTTTTTCTTTTTTTGTCATTTTCAATATTGGTAGTATTAAACATGTGAATCAATACAATACTGTACACAATTCTTCCACTGATTCCGGTTGCGGGCCATGTCTTCAAGAGTCCTAAGCCATTGGCACTCCTCATCTTTGGGTCCCCATCCTGGAAGACGTACGGATCCAACAGCGGCTAGACACGACGTCAGCGATTTCATGTGCTGCCGCCAAGTGGAAGGCTGACCACCACGCGGTCGCCTCCAGCCAGGTCCTTGACGAGCGAATAGAGCGCGACGCGGTAGACGCTCAGGTGCCATGCGTAGGACATGACCGAGCCATCTTAACTGGCGCAACAAAACCAGTTTGTTGAAGGAAATACTTGCATTCCCCAAGATGCGACGTCGAACGTCATTACTATTAACTCGATGTTGCCACCAAACACGAGCGATCCTCCTTAAGCAACCGGCATCGAAGGCAGAAAGACGACGCATGTCTTCCACGCGAATCGGCCAGGACTCGCACCCATACAACAATACTGAGCGAACTGATGCGCTGTAAATGCGGCCCTTTAGTGAGAATGAGACGTCACGACGACGCCACAAGTGCCTCAGATTGACAAATGCTGATCGAGCTTTAGCGATACGAAGCGAAACTTCTTTGTTGATAGTGCCGTCAGCAGAAACACAGCTCCCGAGGTAGACGAAACTATCTACCTGTTCAAGTTGTGCACCTTCGAGAGTGAGCACGGGAGCAGGTGAAAGCCAATCCTTGAGCAGTACTTTACACTTCGATGGGGCGAAGCTCATGCCATACTTAGATGCTTCAACCACCAAACGATCCAGAATGAGTTGCATACCCTGAGGATCGTCACCAAGTAAGGCGATATCATCAGCATAATCTAAGTCGGTCGCGCGCTCACCCGGTAGAAGCTCTAGGCCAAAATGTTGGAAACCTTCTAGGGCATTCGACAGAACGTCTTCGATTGCGAAGTTGAAGAGGAATGGGGACATAGGGCAGCCCTGTCGCACACCGCTATTGACAGCGAATTGCGAGGAAAGCTTGCCATAGACCCTCACTCTGCCGGATGTATGAAGGTAAAGTGCTCGTAAGATGGCGGTATATTTCTCTGGCACCCCGTTCTTTAGCAAGCAACGCCATAAAGCAGGTCGATCAACGGAGTCAAAAGCGGCACGTATGTCTAGGAATGCAACGATAGTGGGCCTGTGATAAATGTGGCGATGTTCAAGGAGTTGGCGGAGCGTGAAGATTTGATCCACGCATCCGCGGCCAGGACGGAAACCAGCTTGTTCTTCACGGTAGTATGATTCACGTACTGGGGATAGTCTACGAAGCAGAATGGATGCCAATAGCTTAGAGGCAACCGAAATAAGACTAATCCCGCGATGATTTGCACATGAAGTACGAGCGCCTTTCTTGAAAATTGGGACAATAACTGATTCGCCCCAAGAGGAAGGCACTTTCTCTTCATGCCAAATTTTTGCGAACAGCGCGGTTAGCTGGTTAATGATCGCCACACCGCCGTACTTGAATAGCTCCGGAGGAAGTCCGTCTAAGCCGGCAGCCTTGAAGCGCTTCAAGCGTCGAATCTCGAGGCAGACTTCTGCTTCGCTGGGTGGATTCAGTGGGACGAGCCAGGGTGGACAACAAGGTGTACTGCATGTACTGATGGATGGTGGAGGCCAGTTGAACTGCGAGTGAAAGTGCTCGGCCCAGCGGTCCATACGCCTCTGTTGGTTGGTGATCGGAGACTCATCCACCTCACAAATGACCTCACTGACACCAGGCTTCCTGAGGCCAGTGGACCGAATGAGTTGGAAAAGCCTGCGAGTGTTGCCAGAGAGGGCAGCAGTCTCCATCTCTAAAGCACGCTCAGACCACCATGTCTCGCGATCCTTGCGTAGGCTTTGCTTGAGCAGCCGGTTGGCAGAACGGCGCCGCTCGTTGCAATCTGATTCCGCCGGGATATCTTTGCGGCGTTCGAACAGCTCCAGAGAACGAGCAGAGATCCAAGACTTCAAAGGGCGTCGAGTTAGACCGCAGCATGACTGTCCGGAAATGGTCATCGCTTTCCGTATACAAGTCCAGTGTTGTTCCACTTCTTGCGGTGGATTGCAACTGAGTGCATATGCCAGTGAAGACTGATAGCTCGCCTGGACAGAGGAATCAGTTAATCTGTTTACATCAATCTTGCGGTGCTTCGTGTTTCGGGATCCTCCAAAACACATACAGATTTTCGCGCAGACCAGAGCATGATCTGAATCAACGAAAGTGGACCAAAAGGACCTGCAGTCCAGTACGCTGCCGCGCCATCTGAAGCTAATTGCAATGTGATCAATTTGAGACCACGGTTGTGTTGAAGAAGGGGGACGCCACGTTGCGGAACGCTTCTTCGTACGCCTGAAGTTAGTGCTCGAAAGAAACAGACGGTTGTCCTCGCACAATGTGAGAAGTCTCTCTCCGTTATCAGAGCGGTTCTCATCGAGCGCGTGATGACCACCAAGGTGGCGTTCGTATGGTAACAGGCGGCCAACCCGTGCATTAAAATCCCCAGCAAGGATAACGACATCCGACTTTTTAGCATTAGTCAAGAGCTGATGTAGATCTCGGTAGAATTCGTCCTTGACCGAGTCGCCACTGCAGTCAGTTGGAGCGTACACGGAGATCACAAACAAGTTGCGTCTCTCTTCGCGGTGCCTGTTGATTCTACATGAACCCCGAAGCCGAACTGCACATAGTCGGCTGTTAATCGGGAACCAGTCCAGTAGTGCCGCCTCGGCCTTGCCACTCAGTGCTATACCTACACCAGCCAAACCCGCTGAGGCTGCTTCTGGATCTCCAGAAAGACGCAGGTGATATCTGGCTTCGTGGTCAGTGGGGGATGTCAATGTAAGCACAGTGCTGGGATCTTGCAATCGGGTTTCTGAAAGGCAGCAGACATCAACGTCTAGGGAATCTAGGGTGCGCGCTAGACCGGCTTGCTGTCCATTCTGCATGAGTGTCCGAACGTTGAAGCACGCCAGACGGAACGAGGATCGGGGACGAAGGAGAGCCATAGGTTGAACTCCTTGATCTGCGGAGCAACCGGAATCGCAGCCAGATTGTTGAACAGATGAATCGGGTAACCGAAAGTGAGGATTGTTAGCAAACAAACAATTGGCGTGTGATGAAGTAGCGTGAAAGTGAGTAGCAGGAACAGTAGCTGATGAGCGCGTTGTAATACAGTCCATGGTTTTGTGAGAGGGTGTGATACTACCCGGTTGTCCAAGCCGAAGTAGGGAGTTGACTTAGGGGACTCCACCCCGAGCCTTTGGCTAAATAACCTACTCGCAAGGCAGCGAAGCGAATTTAGGGAATCGCGCCTATTGGGAGGCGTTGACTGAATGATCAGTTCATGCGTCTTTGTTTGGTAGATTACCAAACAGGGGCCCAATACTCCCCATGAAGTCAGCACAACTGCTGGGAACGCATGGAAAATGCATCCTCAGAAAACCTAACCCCATGGTTGACTTTTGAAGCAACAGAAGTGGCGTTGTTGAGCTCATCAATGTATCTTCTCACAGTTACACTCATAGGCAAGGTTTGTATAGCACGTCAGTGCCGTGGTAAGCGTTACGTGATAGCATAGTGAGCCGCATCGTATTGCTTGGCACCTTCATGGCTCGTTTGAAGAACCAACTTGGCCACACGGTTCATAAAGCCCTGTGCATTTGAGCAAACAGTAAGTGAGCATTTGGGGGGGGGGGGGAATTCTCGATACACGATCATCACCTTACCTGTGCAAATACACGAAAATTGTCGGCATAGTCAACGAATTTCAATTTCTGTCTGACATCCTGTACGTTTATAAGCAGACATATTGTATCACCATCATCGTGCTGTTCAAAACTAGTTATTAACAGACGTATCTATCTCCTTACCTTCCAGTGTTGTTTTTGATCATGCGCGGATGGATATATCAAACAATTTCAATACCCAAGGCCCTACACAGACAAGTTCAGCGTCCGAGATCGCTCGATTGATAGCCGAACGGGACAGTTTACTGAACACCGGGGTTTACGATGATGACGATCCAATCATATTGAACTTGGAGAAACAAATGCAAAGATTGAAGGAGTGCGATGCCTGTTGAATCTCAATGTACAGTTTGGCTGTGTTAATTGCACGTGGCTGTACAAACACATGAATATGGTATTTGTTAGTTTTGAGGTTAAATGGTGCTCGCGAGAACAGGGGTTTTAGGGCTTCCCAATTACGGTAAGACTAGTATACTCATCCACTTATGCGAGAAAAAATGGCAAATTGTGCAACTGTTTTCAGGTTCACAGCGCATGATACACTAATTTAAAGTAACCTTCGCTTGACTGGCTGGAAATACTCAGATCAGTGCGATGCAGATATGTTAATAAAATCTCATCTATCATCTGTGGGACGAACGTGATACAACTAACGCACCTACTTCGTTTCGTTCTCCGATATCTAGCGTTTTCTATCTCATTATGGAGACGTACAGTGAAACAGATCTGTGTGGGTCTCATTTATAGATCCCCATGCATTCTGTGGCTTTGAGGTTATAATTTTTACCAAAAAGTTCAAGTGAAACTATCTTCTGGAGTGGCCAGCTCGATGGCACCACGCGCTTGCAGAACCCCATTGCTCTGATATCTCCTTCTCACACTAGTCCTTAGTTGGGGGAAACCTCTCGGTTTATTGGATAAATTACGAATTACTAATTGGAAGCAGCAAGAAGAGGAATCTCTGTAGCTGCATCTAATGTGACTCAGGGACAAAGGCCCCTTATGTTGGGGTGCGCTCGATATATTTTATATCGGCAAGGTGTTCGTCCAGGAATTTTTTAAATTCCGACACCGACTTTGCCTCAACTACGTGCTGCGGCAGGTCGTTCCATGCTTTCACCACTCTGCGTTCGAAACAGAGTTGGTGAGAGACCCGCTTCAAGTCCGGTAGGTGGTTGTCTCGTCTATGCTATAAAAATTCATTCTTGTCTCGAAGTGAAACAACGTTCTGCGCTCCACCAATAAAAATTCACTCCATATTTATAAAGATGGAGTGCGTTATGTGGTATAAGTACTTGTCAAAGAACCTTCGTGACCCGTCTTAGAGATACGAATTATACTCCAATGAACGTCATGGATTTTGCATCCGCTACTCTGTTCAATTGATGGGCTGTTGTGTTTATGTCACTAAAGCAACGAAGGCACTGCTCAGACGGATCTCTTATGTATAGGTCTATCCGCAGCAGCAGAGTAGAACGCTGAAGACACCCACATTGCCACACAAAACTTATTTTGTTCTGGTTTGAAGTGATACACAAGCGATTTAGTTCAATGTATCAAATAAGCTCCCTCAACGTATCACATTTTATTTACAGTATACCACTAGAAAAAATCTAAATCGCGAACCATAACATTCAACGTTCCCAACCGTTGTGAGTTAGTTTTACGTGGTCCCCATCCTGTAAAGCGGACCGGTCCGACGAATGCTAAGCTTGAGATTGCATTTTTCATGCTCCTTCATTACGTCATCGGTTGTCTACCGCGGCACTTTATCCAACCACTTTCGGGAAGCGTGACTACGACGAGGAAGGCAATAGGATGGCATGCCCATTACGTGGTCAAGCCAACGAACGCGGTGTCGGAGAATAACGTTTTGGAGGTAGTAGCTGTTCGCCCCAAGCACTCGGATTGGGACGTCAGTGTTGCTTACGTGGCGTTACCACCACACACACGAGCAATCGTAAGCATACAATGATTGTCGAAAACTGACAGTTGTTTCACGTCTTCCGAGTGCCTAGGGCAAGCCTCACAGCCATACAAGAGGACCGCACAGACAGATGCATTGTACACCCTACACTTCAGATTGAAACTGACATCATGACGATGCCATGGATGTCTCAGTTTGGTGTGTGCAAGATGCGCCTTTGCGATCTGTTATGATAACTCATCTCCAATACTACCACCAGCTGTGATGCAATTGCCTAGGTAAGTGAAGCAAGGGATTTCTTCCAGAACGTCAACAGCAATGATGAAGACATGCACCTGCCAATCCTAGCAGAAAAATACAGGCCATACTTAGAAGCCTCTACCGATAAGCAGTTCCAAGCGCTGTGGAAGGTTCGTGAATCGCCCCAAGCAAAGCGACGTCATCAGCGTAATCTAAATCCGAGACTCTGTCGCCAGGGAGAAGCTCAGAACCGAAGTTTTAGGCACCTTTCAATGCTCGTTGGACGACATCTTGGATGACAAAATTGAAAAGATAAGGTGGAAAAGAGCAACCTTGGCGAACGCCTCTGCTGACAGCAAAAGGAGTCTGCCTAAACCCTGACTTTACCCGACGTGTGACTGCAAAGTCACTTTAGAACGGTTGCAAACTTGCCGAGCCTATTTTTCCTTAGTAGACGGTTCCACAACGCAGAGCTATCTACTGAATCAGATGCCGCTCGGATGTCCAAGAAAAATGTGATTGTTGATCATCGGTAGACGTGACGGAGTTCAAGAAGTTGGCCGAGTCTGAAGATTTAATCAGCGCGAACTCGAGTTGAACCAAGACCGGGTTGTTCCTCTCGAGACAAGCCCTCTCTCGTCGCTGAAAGCCCGCGAAGTGGAGCGGACACTAGACCTTGGACGCAACCGAGATCTACAGACTTCCGTGGTAGTTGACGCAGTCTTGGCGGATAACTTTCTCGTACATCGGGACAACGACCGATACTCCCAATGAGTTTAGGACCTTCTCGCCAGTCCAAACCCTCGTGAACAGCGATAGGATTTCGCTGACTAGTGCATTCCAGCTATCTTCAAATCGAACCAGGGGTAGGCTGTCAGGGGCGAGAGCTTTATGATGCTTCAAAGATTAGATAGCGCTTCGGTAGGGTGATCTGTGGAGTCAGACAAAGCACCGCCCGATGGAAACGGTATCACAGGGGGCTGTGCTGGGTGCTTAAATTGTAGATCGAAGTGCTCTGCTCAACAACCCAAGCGCATGTGCAGGTTGGTAATTTTCGTGCCGTCCGTATCACAAATTGTGTAACCGATAGCGTGTAAACTGCAATCGGTGGTTATGATGAGGTAAAACAAACTATAAATTTCCACCCGATGCGACAGCTTCCATCTTAGCAGATCGTTTTGACCACCAGGATTCATGGTCAGAGTGAAAACTTGATTTCAGCTGTTGAGAGATAGATAGACGAAGTTTATTGTGCACCGCACCGGCGGGCACAGCCCGTCTACGACCTAGCAGTTCCGAGGATCTTACCGAAATACAGCTATTGGCTGTGCGGCGAGTGAGGCCAAAGCGAAACAAACCGACCGATAGTATGGCATGTTGTAAACTTGACCACTGTTGATCAACCTCCAAAGTAGGAAAGATTTTTTCGGAACTTCTGGTGGTCCTCCGATGCCACTATTCAGTTCTCCAAAGTGTAGGCGTTCAGTCAGGTTTCCTTGGCTATAGGTGAGCCACCGAAACGCGTGCAAACTGTCGCATACATCAATGTACGGCCGGTTTCAACACAATTGATCAAAATGCTCGGCAATCGTGTACGCTGCCGCGCCACCTGCGACTTAAGGCTGTCATCAATTTATGACAAGCAGAATCCGATGACCGGATTGCTTTCCGGTGTACAACGTCTCAGAGGAAGACAAAAGGCAGTGGCTTTGGTTAATGGCAAGTCACATAAGCCATGTTCCAATGTTAGGCAGATTTGTGGCTTCTTGTAGAGAGAACGCTTGCATAAGGAAAACCCGCCACGTCCTGGAACACTACTGCCCAACCATTCTCCAGGACTGGAAGTTTCCGAGCCGCCTAGCTGACTGCGGAGAGGTTGTGTCGGATGGCACTTGTAAATCCACAACGATGTAGTACGTCGGCGAGAACAGGGCGGTAATGGTCAAGTTGGCTCTCAGGAATGACTATTAACGTTAGGTAAGCTGCGTTAGCTTGAGCAACTAGTACGTATGCCGGGTCATCGCTTACCGAAGAGCCCCGTTTTGTTTACCGGAGTTGTGATGGAGCAAAGGTTGATCGGTCATTGGGAATCGAAGTCACTAACTATAAAAATGGGTGTTGTTAGCACGTCTCACCGTTCAAGCTGCAGTCCGTGTGATCCAACTTGCGCTTAGATCCAGATGTTACAGGACACGGCTCGTAGTTGGCACCAGTGGCGCGCTAGCTGTAGTCTGCTACTCGGACTGTCTGTTCAGAGACGACAGGGCATGCCCTGTCCAAATGCCTGAAAGATACTGCGGATAAGACCTATTTCGCGTCGCGCCCATGCATAGTTTACTGCAACAAGCCTTTACTCGCAAGTACTTTGAAAGATAAATTGCGTCCGTTGACTCGATCAATGCGTTTATCAGTACTCGTGCTCCTGTGATGCATGATACGTGGGCCTTACTACGAGGCGTCTATCTCATATGATTCGCAAATACATTCCGAAGTGGTTTTGCAGAGGCGAAGCGGTCTTTTAATGGATCCATCAAGTCGCGTCTCTCAGAGTGTGGCCAGGCAGGCTCGGAAAACGATATCAGGGTCATCGACTCCATTCCTGATGTTTCTCGCGCGGATTCCGGAAGCATCCTTCTATTGCAGAAGCCATGTATATCCACCACATAAAACCGGAGTTGTGCGCACAAAAGCAATTTGAATGAATGCCCGTTACTTCTACCGTGGCCCACAGCTTCCGCTGCATGGTCCTTCGAGTTGTGCCCACGTTAATCTTCGGTCGTGAAAGTGATTTGTCGCTGTACATTATGTGCTACCTTTAGTGACCGCGTGGTTTATCGACTTGTTTCCGTTGGAATTAAAATTTCTAACCAATAAGCGGCATTATCCGGCACATTTAGCAAGTAATCGTTAGCATGCAAAGTGCGAGTCTGACGTGAGTTATTGAAAATAAGTCTTTACTCAGTATCTGTCTCATTTCGATTCATTTGTTCAGTGACTCTGGTGTGGGTTACTGGCTTATTATGGCGCGGGACAGCGAAGGTTTCAAGGAAGCTTCCTCCCCGATGCAGTCTTATCTTTGCAAGACATCAGCTGCTTGAGACGGTATGTTGTTGGCAAAGTGTAGGCGTCTTGATCATGAATGTCCCATCCATCTCCCTCGTATTGCTCTTTATTCCTAAGTTATGCTTGGTGTACGGTAGCAAAGCATCAGTTCAGACTACTGATATACTGTTGCTGCTGCTTCGCTGTTATTCGATCACGTTGTTTGGCCTGCAAACTTTGTGCTTTTGTCTGAGATCCAGGTAGTACCCCAAACACGACGCACAACCATTTTCCTTTGAATGACAGCGAAATATCAGCAAACTACTTGAGTATTTCTGATACCTAGTCTGACCTAAAAGGTTGTTGAAAATAGCGTCTGCTGCAAGGAGAACTGCTCAAGATGACCAAGCGCCTTGCTGTGCACTGCTGCTTATGTTCTTCGCATTTCAGTGGATCTACTGTGAGTTCTATCATAATTTGGCGTTAGCTATCTGTATTTTAAAACGGAAGTTAAAAGGTCAATATTGAGTCTACCAGAGAGCATCAAGTGGAATTACAAAGTTATCTCAGAATTCTGGATGTTGCAAAAGCCAAAGTTGCTAGCGACCTGCAATTTTGTCCGCTCCATCTATATTCAATGACTTGGTCAGCAGAGATGAATGACACCAATTGAAACAATTCTTGGTTCCACCCTTGCTCGTGGAAAAAGTAATCAGGACAATAATAGCAAATTAAAAGAAGCCAATCAAGATATGCACCAAGCATCAGTGCTCAAGAATGGACAGGTAAATTAATTGTTGCAGATAAGCCAAAGCAACTGGACACGAGTAATAAACTGAGGATAGGGACGAGTAAAGTACTGTAGATACAAGGCATTCTTAAACGAAAAGCATCAGGTCCTGTTATGGCAGATAAAAATAGCTCTTACTGTGGCTCTGTGTACACGACCTCCGGGACCAATGGGAATCCTAGTTTGGCACCCGATGCGTTGCGGATTGATAGAGGCGCTCCTAGCCTTCGTTATGCATGTGATGATTTCAACAAACATAAATCAGTCGATGGTAACTTAGTTTGCTACAGGCCAACTGATCACATACCACACGTTCCTGGTCGAGTGAGAAGTTCAGCAGGAGGCTTTTGGTACGCCACACCCAAGGTGCAGAGCGTGTGCCAAGTGATCTGACCTTTGAGGAGTTTATCCTTAGCTGACTGCACCGCATCGCCGGCCCGTGGCCTTAAGGATCACAAGTCTATCTTGTAATCCGGAAGTCGCGGATTCAAGCCAGCGTAGGGGCCCGGGAGACCCTCACAATACTTTTAACCCACGCGCGATTGGTGGTGATTGCGCGGCAGCGAAGCGTCGATACTGCGTACCGATGTATCGCTAATACACTACTGATGCACTGCACCGCATCAAGTTAACGATTACAGGCGTGAAACCATTCGCATAGTTCGGACTTGACCAAAAAACTGAACAGGGACGAGAAAATGGTACAACCCAGATGGGATGCTGCTTCGCGATTGACAATGGTAAGCGATGTGGTTAGTGACTCACAAATAGCAAAAGTGCGTAAAACACTCGTTAAATACTCTCAATAATAAAAATAACTGGTTTAGGATAACGTATCTATCCGGGATGTACACAGCATTATCTCAACTCAACTGACACTACTTTCTAGCGTTTTGCACAGAAATGTGAAGGCCATTTTGAGTACAGCAATTTACAAATAACACCATATCGGTCACAGAACTTAGCCAACGCAGCTGACAATAGCTGCAGGTTGAAGCAGTATTTCCGTTCTGGTAAGTCAATGAATGCACTACATAGCGACAACCAGATAATGCTATCCGCATTTACGTTGATTAGTGAGGCAAGATTAATGATGACAGACCAAACAATAATGTGGGCACACACACTATACACGCTAGCTAGAGGTGGGAAGCACCTCAGCTACTGTGCCGCAATACCAAAAGAAAAAAGAGAATAAAATGTAAAAGGTGCAAGCCAGCTGAGCTACCGGTCACTGATCCGCATCGTTACGGTAAGCTACCTGCCACCAGAAAAAAATAATTTGCTATGCAAAGTTATAAAATACTAAATAATGAGATCGTGGTTGGAGGGGGAGGCTAAGAGGGAAGGGATGGGACAAAGAAACTCACAGCACGAACGCCATTGTGGTCGACTCCTAGCCATATCAGCAAGTGTATCCAGATAAACGTGTTCATCGTCTTTCGGACCCCAACCAGGGAGCCGAGACGTTCCAACTGAGGCCAGCTTCGAAGTGAGGGCCTTCATTTCTCTGGACCAAGTCATCCCTTGGTCACCTCTTCTTCCATCCACACCCACAGTGCGCAAACAACGCAAGACGCGGGTGTCGGTGGGCTGGCACGCATAACATGTGGCCGAGCCATCGGCGCCTGGTGCGTGAAAAGACGGTGCTGAAAGGTTCAGATCCTTTTCCTGTGCCGTAAACAAGGCGTCGAATACGCTTGTTGCTCACGCGGTGTTCCCACCAGATGTGTGCTAAATTGCGAAGGCAACGGTGGTCGAATGTAACTAGTCTCTTCAAGTCTGCTGCTTTAAGGGCCCAGGTTTCACAATCGTACAGTAGGGTCAAATGTACCGCTGCGGTGTACACTCTACCCTTCAGGGGAAGAGTGATGTCGCGCCGGCGCCATAAGTGGGGATGGTTAGCAAAAGCACTTCGAGCTTTTGCTTTCCGGTTCGTGATCTTATCTTCGATCCCACAGGCGCTGATACAACTTCCCAGGTAGCTGAATTTCCGAACGACTTCTAGCTGATCCGCATTAAGGGTCAGTGAATGAGACGGTTCAAGCCAATCTTGGAGGAAGACTTTACAGTTCGAGGGTGCAAAGCAAAGCCCGAAGCAACTAACAGCCAGTGTTAATCTGTCCAGTGCAGCTTGGCACGTTTGCGAGCTGTCACAGATTAGGGCAATGTCGTCTGCATACTCCAAGTCGAGAAGTCGTTCTCCTGGCAGTAGCTCCACACCTTCCAAGTCATGTCCTGTAAATGCAATCTCCATGACTTCATCAATAACGAAGTTGAAGAGGAAAGGTGACAGCGGGTATCCTTGTCTCACACCGCTGGAAATATTAAAGGGCGACGACAGCTTGCCGTAATCCATCACTCTGCCTGAGCTACGCGCGTATAATGCTCGGATAATATTTACATATTTCCCAGGTACATCTTTCATGAGTAGACAGTCCCAAAGTGCACGTCTATCCACCGAATCGAATGCACCTTTGATATAGGGGAACACGATAAACATGGGCCGCCAATATATGTGACGGTGCTCCAACAACTGACGCGAAGTGAAGATGTGGTCAATGCAGCCACGACCCCGATGAAACCCGGCTTGATCCTCACGAATCCTGTCTTTCACGCGTGCCAGTCAGTCTGTGAAGGATAATGGAGGCAAGCAATTTGGAGGCGATTGAGATCAGACTGATTCCTCTATGGTTGCCGCGTTCCGACCGTGAGCATCCCCTGAAATTCGAACTATAACGGAGTGGCTCCAATCGGTTGGGACAGTTTCCTGCTCCCACAGTTTCACTAGTAACTGAAATAAATCATCCACAAGAGCAGGTCCCTCGAACTTGAAGAGGGCTGGAGGAAGGTCATCTGGTCCCGCTGCTTTATGTAACTTCAACTGTTCGATCTCACGTTCGACTTCTGAGTGAGAGGATGGATCCAAAGGGGCAGCCCACAGAGAGGGGAGATCAGTGGCCGGCGAGAAATCTAACAATTCCGACCGATTAAATTGCTTCTCAAAATGCTCAACCCAACGCTCCAAGCGTTTTGACAAGCTGTGGATAAGCTATCCACTCTCGTCACGTATAGTTTCACTAACACCAGGTCTCCTGCTGCCCGTTTCCGGTATCAGCCGGAATAACTTACGATGGTTACCAAGGGCAGCGGCCATTTCTATCTTTGATGCACGATGAGACCACCAAGATTTGCTGTCTCTCTTCAGGCTAGCACGGATTCTTGTCCGAAGCTTTTTCCGAGTTTCATTGTGTTCGCTTCCAGCCGGAATATGCCGGCGAGCATCTATAAGTTCCAGAGATTGCGAAGAGACCCAATGTCCATGTTGGCGATTAGATATACCACATGAGGATTTTCCTGCTGCTAGTAAGGACTGGTGAATATGAGACCAGTGAGCTTCAACTACATCCAGTGAGCACTTACTCAACTCGCATGACAGCGTACTTTGATAAACATTCAGAACAACTGGTTTCGCCAGTTGGCTGGGGTCAATACACTCACAACATCGTCGTGGGCGTCCATGATTTGATTCTAGAAAATCAAGTGATTCAAAGGTAGGTACAATGCCAAGCAGTATTTAATGCAGCATTCGTAGTAAAAGCAAATGAAGCCCGGTAAAATGGATCACCTATTGTGTTCACATTACCGAATTACGAGAAAACGAAACGAGAAGGATCAGTACAATTGGTTCATGAAACATAACCCATAGTATAACATCACAAAGAAGTGAAGAAAGGGAACCAATCAACAAATTCGCCACGATCGCAAGATTCCATTTTCATTCTTTGAGGCCACCCAACTAGAAGTTTGATTGGAAAGAAAATATCATACTACCTGGAGCAGACTTATCTCCTCTTCGGTTAGGGGTTTTCGTTTAAATTGCGGGTGTAAACGAGATAGCTCGACAGCACCTTCGGGAGGAATAGAGCACTTGACTGTGAAAGTTGAAGTTGACGACTGCGGAAGAGCCTGCTGCGCTAGATGTGAGAGCGGTAGTCATTCAGTAGGAGATTCTCACCTGGTGGACACTTCAGTTGACTTCGGAACTTAATCAGCGGTACATGCTTTTTCACCTAGAGATCGAAAGTGACAAAATGTATACAGGAGTGGTACGGCTGATACTGAAGTTGAGAGACGAGTGGAAGCCATAGGTGGCGTAAATCTGAATACGAAAAGAGAAAGGATTATGGGCAACGATAGTTGGCTAAATTGACTTCAGAATCATTGCGCGAAAGTTACAAAATCAAAATGTCAGTGTCTGCATCGTAGCATTTAAGGCATTAACTTTAGCTACCAACTGTCTGAGGCCAGTAGTTAAGTTAACACTATTTTAGAAAGGTTCAAGTTGAGCTTAGATGCAATAAAAGCTTGTTAATCGGCAGTACGACCTGAAAGATATCAATTGATGGTCAAAAATAGCACCCAAGCTTGGAACGGTAGTGATCAAACGTCGGGTGAAATCACGCAAATAACAGTAATACATTACTAATGCTACAGGCAGTTCACTTTTACACGACCAGCCGCCACGGCAGCGAGAAATGACAAGGTGGGGCAAGGGGATCTAGCGCAAAACCTTGATATCTTACACAAACACTAAGTGCCAAGGCGTCTACATCCCGTTAATAACATGTATCGTAAAAGGTTACCGTTGATACAGTATCACTTGCGTGTCATAAACAATCTCATTCTACAGATAATAAGATAGCCTAGCTAGCAGTTGATAGTAAGTGCGCCACTAATGCTGGTTGTAAGCCGTGCTACAAATTTTCGAGAAAAGAGAAGAGAGGATCGCGTGTGTTGCGTGCCTGGTTCTCCCCGCCGCGTCAAGAGCAAGAACTCGCACCGGCTTTGCAGACAAACGTTCTATTTCAAAGTCCGAGGTAAATAACAACTAACTGTGATGTTGAAAACTCATCTGCCAACTCAGTCGATCGCTTGATCGGCCACACTGCGATAGGCGATTCCATTCTCCCCAGCTGTCAGCCACATCACATCTTTTCCTTGTCTTGGTGTTGCAGGTTCTGTATTGCCGTCCATTGCGGCAGATCTTTCCAACCTGGGCTGCGGTTACTTGGCTTATTCGGCTGATGCGCCTTCTCGTCCGAGTGCAGAGCCTGTTCATCATATCGCCTTTTCTGCCGCATCTGATGGCATCCCCTTCTTCTCCGACCCCCTTCAACTCAAGCTTTCTGTTTAAATCATATTTCATTTCCAGGCGCTAGAGTATGAGACTGTCTTGGTTCGGGTTTGGGATGCGTCTTTCGCCGCCGTGAATGCTTTCGAAGACCGTCTTGCAGACGATTAGTGTAAACTTTTTCGGGTTGCAAATGTACAATGGTCCCCGAGTCAGCTTGTGATTGAACAAGTTGTTCTTGAGGCGGCAGTTTTGCGTCAACGCATCCCTCCTCGTCGTGATCCCACTTGTTATTTACTGGGATCTCTTGTGCTTCTTGCTGACTGACACTATCAAGCGATCTAACGTTGGTCGATAGACAGCAACAGGCGAACTGATTTAACCAGCCCAGAATATAAGCGCCCAGTGTGTTTGTCAGTGCATTCAATCCTAGCTACCGCGCAACCGATTGTCTACTGAGCCTTGCGCTATCCATCATCCGGAAAACAAAACAAACCCCTTCAGGTAAGCAGCAAGATGATCTATGCAGTAGGTGTTCAGGACAATCCAACGTCTTATTCATCGATCAAATGATCCAACTTACTCACCAGCGCTATGGCTTAGTGTCAATAGGACATGCCAGTGAGGATATGTTGAAGTCAGCAATCTCTAACAGTGACAAGCATGAGCCCATAGCAAAAAGTTTGGGGGAACCTCAATGCACCAAACTGATGGGTTGCACTCCCAAAAGAAGAAGGGACATTACGCTTGTTCTGTGCACAAGGCATTTCAAACCGAGATAAATCCCCGTCTAGTCCGAAATCCATTTTCTGGCGTGCTACACTTTCCAGGTTTTTAGGCGAAATATCATGAAGCACAGTGTTTGAAGAAACACGCGTGACAAAGTTTGACTACTGTGAAATTTTCCCTGAGAAAAATTGCTTATGTCTAACTGTGTTTGCATTGTGCGAAAGTGGTGACCAAGGATATCCAATGAATTGCCTGCATATGGTCAAAAGCGTTGTTCACAACTTACCGAACCACTCTTCAAGACCTATGCTGAGCACAAAGGCTTGTTATAGATTTGCCGATATTGCATCGATGCTGCTGCGTTGGCAAGACGTCCGCCACATCAACATCCTGAAAGACGTTTTCCAGCTCCTTCTGGTAGGCGTGCCAGAAAGCGCAGCATGACATCTCTCAACAATCCGCTACAAGTCACGATCAGCCCAAGCCCGTCTACTTCTCATTCGGACAGTGACGCACATCCGGCCTGGTGAGCCTATGATAAAGTCATATGCGGCCGTAGTGAAGGAGAAAGCAACCTTGGCCTCGTGTGGCCAAAGTCTAGCCACATGTGTCACCAAGACTAAGCTCTTGAATAAACCTGAGCTTCCACCTTCTCAGTCGCAAATGAAGATAGTTCTCGACAGACTTTCTGAGCTGGAGAAGGTCATCAAGTAAGCCGCCAATCCCTGAGCGCATTCAACCATCTCGTGACCGTTGTCCCGTCATCTTGAAAGCGGCCGAATTGGACAAGACTACCTCAGAGGAGAGAATGGTGGATGATCAAATACTGCTTGAGTGGATGATTTCTCTACTATTTGATGCAGATAAACAGGGAATAAACATTGTCTTTGCCTTCCGTCTTGATAAGAGGTAAGAGGATTCCTTCAAGGTTCGTCTCCTCGAGGTTGTATGCGGAAACGAAGAGGACTGCGGACGCATCCTGCGACGGACTCCGCGCCTCAAGAGTGAGCCGTTCTATGTGTTACGACACCTCCCGAGGACCGAATTAATATGAAAAAGGATGTAGATAAGCTACCAACGTGCCGGGAAAGTGCTGAAACCAACCTGCATATCGTGGATTTTCGTGTTGTGTTCCTGTGAACATCAAACTTTACTTCACGAGGAAGCTGAGAAAGCTAGTCACTTGGCCAAGTAATATGCTTCGGTTTACGCGAAAGAAACACCATTAAGCGACAGAGCCATATCTACCATTCCATTTTCGTTGACTAAAGTAGATACTAACATCGATTCCGTGAAGAAACTTCTTCTTTATTGGATCCGTACAACTCGTCCGGCCATGGTGGATTGCATCTTTTGTTCCTCAGTACTGTGGCAGAGTACACTGCTTCGCCTTTATGTCAAGTTTTTCGTCGTCCATCAAAAGCTGGCCGTCTTCCGTCGGCTTAGAAAATGGGTATCGTCAAACCCATCTACAAAAGGCGGAAGTCGACATGACCCAACCAATTATCGCGCAAGCTGTTTTACGTAGATGGTGTGACAAATTATGGAACGGGTCCTAAAAGAGGGACAGAATGCCATTCCTTACTCCCAGCATGGATTCCGAGAAGTACGCTCCTGTACCTCGGATTTGCTCGTTGCTAAGTAGACATGGGCAAGACCGTTAGACTCCGGCAAACGCTTAGACACTATGTTTGTCTTCGGAAAAGCATTCAACAAAGTCCCGCATGAACGGCTTCTGTTTGAACTCCGAGGAATCGGTATGTCTGGGGACCTCCTGTCTTGGATCTCCGAGTTCCTAAACGACTGCACCATGCAAGTGAAAAGGAATGACACATTTCCGCCCCTGTTCTCATAACGAGTGAGGTACCACAGGACTCTGTCCTCGGATCCGTACTTTTCAATATCTTCATCAACAACTTACTGTCCACCCTTCAGTCGGACTGCCTAATCTAAGCTGAGGACCTAAAGCTGTTGATGAAAATATCCAGCCTTGAAAACGCAGACAGATTACTATTCACGCTCGATCTACTCCTTGATTAGTCGATTAAATGGAAGTTGCCCGTGAATCGTGATAAATACTCTGTTCTGCTCGTTGGCGCGCATAACTCATTTGGAGCTTACGACATTGGTGGTTCCTTGCTCAGAAGCGCAACCCATGAGAGGGATCTTGGAGTAATAGGTCATCAGACAACAAATCTATTCAAGACACCCAGAAGAAAGTCGCCATGACCTACAGTATGTTCCATCTTAGAGGTGGAGGGTTTTCTCTCCTGATCTCCGGGCTTTTCCGACTCCTGTTTTTCTCGCATGTGCGCCCGATTCTCGAATACGGGCTACCCGCTGTCTTTCCTCTCATCAAATCCGAATGTGATATGATAATAGAAGGTTCAACGGAGTGGATTCAAATCCGTCCCTGAGTTGCAAGACCTGTCTTATCAACTCCGACTTCAACGACTGAACTTTAGGTCATTGTCGTCACCGCGGAGATTTGATATGCACTCGACGTATCCTCAGAGAACTTGGGTGCGAGTTACAGGACTTCTTTCAATTCAACACTGAGAGTTCGACACGAGGTCACCGCTTGAAACTGTTCAAACTGAGGAATCTCCGTATGCGGCTTAATCTGGCCTTATCAACTTGCGTAGTGATTGGAACCGTTTTCCGGAGTCTAACGTCGATGCAGAGACAGAGGAATGCGCTCGGATTCTACTGCTTCTAATCTAGCTGCAGTGGTCCTCTGCGGTACCTCAGTATACAAAGACCCATGTCACCTCCGCAATCGTCGGGAAGTGAAGGAGCTGACAAAGGATCTTCCTTCTGCTCTCTATTATCCATTGATCCAACAAAGATGTCGCATATCAACGAAACACCTCTAGCTGTCTAAATCACCCGCATATCTGAATCGGTCGACTATCTCCAAATCCATGACGCCAAAAAGCAAAGGTTGATCATGTGGCTGGAGCATATGTAGAAGCTGCAACACGCACACAAGAACATGGGGCTACTGCACGACTGTTCAACAGTAAGCCAACATCGCTAGTATGTGCTCGGCAGCATCCCTTTCCCGAGTTGCATGCCACTGTGACTGCGAACAGCCACAGAACGCTTGTGCTTACTGAGCAACTAAGGGCGGTTCTCGTTGTACCAGCAGCATCACCAATACATCAATACACGTTAGTTGAGGGTGCGAAACACAGTTAATGTGCCACAATACAAAATGATAAAATACTAAAAACAAGCGCTACAAAAAATTCAGAAGCAAGCAATATAATGTTAAATATATCAT